ATCTTGAAAGTTGTGTGTTGGGGGGTGTTGATTATCGTAGCAGTGGAGATAAATCTATAGGTTTTGCACCTGTTGTTCTGGCAGGGTCTGGTGCCACTTTGAATAGGTGTGTCCTGGTCTGTGGGGAGCTTGCTTCTGATGATGAGCTTGAAGGGTTGTTTGAAGGCCTGAAGAGGGGTTTCAGAAAAGACTTCTTTCAGGATGTGGTCCCCATCGAAGGTGGATTGTAATTGTTTGATGATTTCCAGTGTGGGGTGCTAGGTGACAACTAGGAGTGTGTGTCAAAGTGGGTTTTATTTCTGTATTGAAGCAGGTTCTCCTGGGGTATTTGGGTACCCTGTTCCGTGATACAGTCTACTTCTCTAGTGGAGTGTCCTTGATTGGTGAAGGCATTTTTAAGTGTGTTATGGTACATATCCCAGACTTCCTTGTTGGAGTATATTCTTTGGTAGCTGAGTGCCTGGTTTCCTGGTGTTTTTGGGGTGCTTACTGGATCTGTGAAGGTAGATGTGGTGATTTATAGTTTTCTTGCTTATAGTTGTTTGTGGGGTTCCATTGCTGAAGCTGATTGTGGTTTCCAGGAAGTTGATACTCATGTGGGATTGTGGGTTTATGGTTTGTTCCGACAATCCTTCCACTTAAACCCCTCACCCCTATTCTTTTGTTTTGTTTTCTTCCTTTCCTCCCTGTGACTGGAGAGGTGTTAACAGGCCACTTCACCTTGAATGGTCCCTTGAATTATGACGGTCTTTTCCACCTTCTATTTAGCTGCGACACTGAGTACCTTTCCCAGACCTGAGGAGAGTTCTGTGTAGCTCGAAAGCTTGTCTCTCAGCAACAGAAGTTGATCCAAACAAAGCTATTACCTCCCTCACCTTGTCTTGCTACTGTCCTGGACCAGCATGGCTACAACACTGAAAACAGTGAAATTGATATTTACCAACCAACCATCTAATCCTTTCAAGCCTACCCTATTTCCTGCACTGAGGATAAGAGAGGGGATACCCCTTCCCAGAGAGCTTTTGTAGAAGTCTGATGCTTTACTCTTAGGTTTGCTCTGAAGAAGTCTTTCCTACGAGACAATGTTCCATGTTTTTTCACTGTTTGCTGGAAATGCTGGGGTCATCTATAGCATTTGGTTAAAACTGGACCTTTGTACTTCACTCTAGCTGAGGCACTTTTGTTTCTCTGCAGTTAAGAACTTGGGTCTCTAATTCACTTGCACCTTGTCACAGATACAGTCAGGCTCTCCCTGCTAGCGGCCCAGGAGATTGCTGTGAAGGGAATCCCTGGGCGCCGACTATGTCTGCTACCCCTTCATGGAAATAGCACCCCTCCGCCCACCTGCTGTAGGCCCCTAGGACCAGTACTGATCCCTGGAATACCCCAGTAGATTAAACGCACCCTCTCTGTGTTCTGCCTGACAAGGAGAGCCTTCTGGTTTACCTTTCCAATGGGTCCAGGGGAGTTGTGACACACAACACATACCAACTTTGCACAGAACTCAAACACTGTGTTGCTCTTTAATAGTCTGAGAAATACACAGAGTACAGCTCATATAGAAAGCAACAAATAAGCTGAAAGCAAGCCACTTGCTAGCTCACCTTTGCGTGGTGTCCATCTATGTTAAGGAAAGTAGGCAGGGACCCCTGCTTCATCAGGCTCTCCATGCTGGGTTGCTTCTCCCTCCTCTTTCGCTGGAGGAAAAAGTCCCCCAGAGTAGAGCAGCTCCTGCCCTTTTATAACTTTCAGCCCCCCCTTTGTCAACCCAGCCATATCATGCAGGGCTGTGAAACATCCACACCCCCAGTGCAGACAGTATTAGGTTGATGAAAGAATTCTTCCATCGACCTGGTCCCACTAGGATTACCTGTCTCTTGGCGTAGGTAGCGTCTACAGTGAAGCACAGTTGCAGTGTACCACTGTAGCGTTTCAAGTGTAGACCAGCCCTCAGGTGATCAGATCCCTGCCAGTGACTTCATTGCCCATGTGACCATCTCCCTGAGTTCAGAGTAAAAAAAAAACTAGTTTGCTCTGGGCAGCAGCCGTCTCCGTATCATTTAGATGGAGGATTGTCAATGTTTAATGACTCTTATCAGGCCTTTGCGTTGGAATTTCAGAACAACAGGAAGGCAACGGCACAACAGAGAAGACAATGACTAGCCCCCCATTCGAAATGGAGTTTGCAGCTTGGTAAAGATACAGAGTTCGTAATCTGACAATGGATTCATAAAGTGTACAGGCAAATCCTCACACACCTCTAGCTCTAAATGTTATGTGCCATTTAGGGACAAATTCCTCTGAAATTTTTTGAAGAAGCGAAGTACAGTGCAATATTAAAATGATTAAATTAGCTTATACCAGCCAAGAAACTGCTCTTGGCCCTTCTTATTACAAAGCCAGTGCTAAACTAGTGTTCGGTTGCTAACTCCACCCCCAACCCCCACCAAAAGGGGTAGAACTTTAATATCCCTGCTCCTTATGGGCTCTTTAAATGGCAAGAGTTCTTCATTCTTCCACTGTTGCTGCTGAGCTGTTGGCTGAACATGAGCAGCCCTCCTGGGGTTACTGTTGCTCTGAAGCTCCTTCTGCTAGAATTTGAGGTTTTTGGCCTGAGGTGCAGGAGCTGCATAGACCCTTTGTCTGGAAAAGCTACACATGGAGTTAGAAAGAAGGAATGTATTATACGAGTGCCTTAATACCTCCTCCCTCCACCAATGGGATAGACCCATTTCTCATCAAGAGAGTATCTTCTAGCCACCACCCACAAAGGACTAAGGGCCCTGGTCTCTGTTACAGAGTTGGGTTGATGCAAGACAGCTTGCATCGACGTAACTAGGGAAGCAGCTACACTTAAATTTTGCTCCTGCCTGTGTAACTGCCCAGCTCCGCCAATTTAATAACTCCACCTCCGTGAGCGGTGTAAAGTCAAGGTCGGTGCAGTTTGGTCGACACAGAGTCAATGTAGATGCTGCATTGCTTTTGTCGACTGTTACTGGCTTTCAGGAGCCTTCCTGTGATACCCCCCGCTGACAGTACAATCAACACAAGCCCTCCTTGTGAGGAAGCGCACCGCCGACACAAGGAGCAAAGTGTAGACATGTACAAGCGATGTAGTTGCTGCTGGGGCTCTATGCCGACGTAAGTTAGGTCAACTTAATTTTGTAGTGTAGACATGACCTTAGTACACTTCCCCTACCCCCCCCCCCCCCCCACACACACATCCATAAAATATTAACAGCTGTAAGGAGAAGCAAAGTCTGTCTTTTTTTTTTAACAACTGGTGGGTGGGTGTGTACTTAAAAATAAAAAAATTTAAAAAATGAAGCCAGTCTGTTCTGTAACTGTACAGGGTACCCTGACAGCTAGAAACTCACCCTGGAGATACTCCTAGGGGGGTTCTTAATTAAAATGACTTTCCAGACCATGATTTATATGTTAGGAGCCACTTTTTCATCTTCAGCATGCTTTACAATAATTCTTACACTGTAGCTGAGGTAGAGAAACCCTTTTTGACTCCTTTTTAAAAAGAGGGAAACTGAGGCACGTAGCTGCGACATGGCCAAAGTAGCGGAAAGTGGCGGATCCAGGCTTAGTACTTGTGACTCCAGTCCTGTACCTGGTGCCTATTTTCAATACTTTGACATCTTTCTGTCAAGTATTATTTACATAGCTCTAGAACTAAATGCCAGGCTAACGCCTGCGCTCCTGCCTTAAACACCTTAAAGGCACAAATGATACACTCCAGAGCACCAGGCAGCGTTATGTGGGAAGGGAGAATGTGCTGCTGTTTCTGTTTAATGGAAAGGGTGTCTCTCTTAGCAGGGGGGTGTCTTTATACTTGTGGTTCAATTCTAATACATACTAAAAAGAAGCAGAGAGTAAGAATGGAATGATGATGATGAGCAAAATTCTCAAAGTGCTTAAGATGCCCCACTGAAAGTCACTTTACCTAAGTCCCTTTATATTCTGCTGAAAGAGAAGTGAATGACAGCTAGAGTATGTTCATTTGCATTTACAGTAGTGGCTAGAGTATAGCTGGGTGAATAATTCATTTTTCAGTTCACTTGGCTGTTCTGATGCGGGGGGGGGAGGGCCTGATTGAACTGAATTTGAAGATGGGAGAAAATGTTGCTGAACTGAAAAAATCTGTTTGGGGGTGAATGAAGCATGTTGTTAACCAATGTTTTTGTGCCTTCTTAAATGACCACGTTCACAAAACAACCAGAAGAGGAAGAGGTGGTGATGCCTTTTCTCCGTTTTGTGAATGGCATTAAGCCGGGGGTGGGAAGACGGGGATCTTGTGAATTTGGGTCAGTCGGTATTGCACTTTTTTTTCCAGCAAATAAAGTGTGTGAAATTTTTTGGCCTAGCTGTAATCTAGAGCACTTGACCAACGTCATATCCCCTTTGTGCTAGGTGCTGTATATACATAACAAGAGACAGTCCCTGCCCTGGAGAGCTTACAATCTGAATAGACAGTGGTGGAAAGGAAATATTGTTATCCTCATTTTTACAGCTGATTAACCGAGGCACAAGAAAGGTTAAAAGACTTGCCTAGAATCACAGAGCAATGTTTGGGAGGAGCTAGGAATTGAACCCAGATCGCCGGATTCCCTGTCCATTTTTCCGCTCATTAGTTTGTCATGGCGGGGTGGGGGGAGTCAGATACTGTTTGGTTTTTTTCTCCATTGGTCCATGATGTTTCTGGGAGGCCTCGGGATAGGAGCCCTCCTGCAGGGTGAGTGTGGGATGGGCTCACTCTCCAACCTTCCCCAGGGTCTCCCAGCCTTCAAGGGTTGACCCAATCCTCCCCCAAGGGCCTTCCATCCCCAAGGGGCAAGACCCAACACCACCACTCTGACATGCCCCCCTGGTACCTTTAACATTTCTTCCTAAACCTGTGACTTTTACTAAATGTAGCGCTCTGTGATTTTTGTTAACACCGTGACAAATCTGCAGCCCATGTTGTTTGGGGGGCAGGAAAATCCTCCTGGCTTCTAGGAAGGAAGAGACTCCAGCGTGGAGTCAACATTTTCCATGTTATCCGTTTGCATTAGGAGTGGAGTATAGGAACTCATGTCGAACGTCGAACTCCCAATTTTTCCCTGTCTGCCATATTTCTTCCGTCTCTCAATGCAACTGTAACAGATTAATATTGATACAGGCATAGTTAACAAGCTATGAGACAGCCTCCCACCTTCAGGAAATGAATCAAGTGAGAGAACTAAGATTTATATGACTTTTGCATAATTTTTAATCTTCAGGGTTAAATTTTAACAAGGTCCTGTTGCGTGATGAGAGGCAACCCTTCACAAACAGGTCCTAAATTGACGATCCAACTCATGAGCCAGGGCTGAGTATACCATGTATGGGATAGCCAAGTAGCCATGTTTTCTTCAGGATACCCTAGGCTCATCTTGCCTGTCTACAACATGTTACTCAATAGACTGGATATTCCGTACCAAACTGTGTCTGGAGGGAATTTACATTTTGGCAGCAGTGAAGCAGTTAAATGTCCCCTCTGGTTGCTGCTCTAGCGTTTAAATAAGTTCAGAAGGGGAGCATGTTCAGTGTGTTCTATTTTGGATTGAGCATCTCAAGTTGCTACGTGAGGGGCTTGTTTGCCCATGGAGTAAGTGGATATAACCACCGTTGACATCAATGGCTAGGCAGTGCTGGAACTGCTGCTTATTACACCAGTCAGAATCCTCTCACCCTCCCATCTGTTGTCTCTCATCAGATACATAGATGATAAACTCTGTGGTGTGGAGGCTATCTTTTTGTTAGGAATGTGCACAAGGGGGAACCCTGATCCCTCACTGGGGGCCTCTGGGTGCTACCACAGTACAAATAACGGGAGTTCTTTGCCCGCTGTATATAAGCAGATCTGTTGTGTGTCACTGACACAAACCAGGGCTCATGACGGTCATATCTGCACAGACCGTTCTCCCACCGCCCAGCCCCACTACGTACCAGTACACGATGAAGTAGCTGATGATAAAGAGGAGGAGAGCACCTAGATAGTGCCAGCTGAAGCACATGGTGAGGAACATGATGTTTCCATGATCAGTCTGGTCCCAGCCTGGCCCGCCCCATGGTGGGTACAGCACAAACCCGATCTAGTTAGAATAAGTGGTGATCTGATGAGCAGGCCAGCTCCTCCAACACCCCATCCTCTCCTTTATTACACGGCTTCAGTATCGAATATGGATGCACTGACCAAAGGCTCCCCATTGCGCTCTAGGGTCTGCCTAGGAGATTGCACTCCTTTTATACCTGTGCCTTCCTGCAGCTTTGCACACCAGTTTGACCTGCTGATTATGCTATTCTAACATGCTGTCTTGGGACTGCTATAGGAAACCATCCAGACACTTCAAGGAATGCAGAATTTGCTTAGTGACCAACTACAATGAGTGTATTGCACTGGGTCCTTGTGTGCATCCAGGTGAAATTTCCAGTGTGTTTTTAATCTGCAAAGCCTGATATGCTTTGGGTCCTGGCTATGGAGACGGCTCATCTATCTGGGGTACTAACATTAGTATAGTAATGGGGGAACTATCCAGTTTTTCTTTATCTTCATAACACCCCTGTGAGATAGGGAGGTATTAATATCCCCATTTTGCAGACGGGGAGTTGAGGCACAGAGACACTACGTGATTTGCCCAAGGTCACGCAGGCAGTCTGTGGCAGAGCAGGAGATTGAGTCCAGGTCTCCCAAATCCAAGGCTAGCACTTTAACCACTAGCCTATCCTATTTTCCCGATGCACCATTCTGTCAGCTGAGATCATCTGAGGTGCTTGTCCTGACTGTCCTTACCTTTCAGTTTAGTCAGAAGGGGACAGGACTTAGGTCCTATCCTCTGGAATTTGCTCTCCCTGCTTGTCTGACAGAGCCCAAGGCTGCTGACCTCGAGGGAACAGTGCAAGACTTGCCTGGCTTCTAGATGAGTCCTGATTCTATTACATTGTGAATGCTATAATGTGCAACAAAATGACCAACATTCCCAGGCTGAGCCGCTCTTACAAATGTGTTGTGTTTTTTTTTCTACAAAATCAGAGGTAAAGTTTTCAGAACCAGTGTGTACAGTTATAACCTGGAGGGAGAACTGCTGTAACCCGGAGAGGAGCTGTAGCTGTGCTGGTCCCAGGATATTGGAGAGGCAAGGTGGGTGAGGTAATATGTTTTTATTGGACCACCTTCTAAGCTGGTGACAGAGACGAGCTTTTGAGCTTACACGTCAGATCTTGATCTGAAGAAGAGTTCTGTGTCAACTGAGAAACTTGTCTCTCACTAACCGAAGCTGATCCAATAAAACACATTACCTCACCTCTCTAATAATCTGGAGAGAGAACTTGGTAAATAACGCATCATGGCTAAAATGAATTTAAGTCCAAGTCTGACAGTTGTAGATCATGATGGTCCCTTTTGACCTTTGAGTCTGAGTGTTTTACCCCTTTTTTGCTCTCCACTATAGAGTCAGTCAGGCTGAAAGTACAGGATAACAATTACTAACCTGCAAGAACCAGGATCCTTGGAGAAGGAACATGGTCGTCCTTAAGAGCTCCAGGACTGGGTTATCTCGCATGAACACTTCCAGAAGGGAGCAGAAGGCACCACCAAATATGGCAACGAGCATCAGTGAGTGGATGTGCTGATCCAGCGCAAGGCGGTGATGGGCATGAAAATAAAAGAGAAAACCTGCCAAAATTCAAACCAAATTGTGCTAATACTGCTTAAATGGTTAGTGAAGAACTGGATGCAAAGAGCCAACCAGTGACCCTGGAGCCTAGGTTGCGGTTGATGAGACAGATATTTTCCCTACCTTGTGCACATGTAACTGCTATGTATTTGGATAGGATAGTGCAGTTCACAGGGAGGACCTATTGTTCTGAATGGAGATGTTGCCACTTAAAAACTCGAGGCAAGCAAGTAAAGAGAAAATGTCTGGGAAAAGCCAGGTCCTATTGTCCAAATGACTATGAGGCAAACAGTCTGTCTAGGCAAGTCACTGATAAGTGACTGTAAGTCAGGTTTTTGAAGTACCCTTCTTCCTGTAAATAACTGATGGTTCTGAATCCCACTGTTTTGGAACAGAGCTTTGTGTCTTTCTTCCAGTGCTGATGCCTGAGTTTCTGCCCATTCTTTGAAAATATGTTTTCTCCCTCCTTCTTTTTTTCTTTTGACAATGAAACTCCGCCCATGTGCCCAGATGTTTTCCAAGTTTCTCTCTTAGCCATTGATTTGAAATGAGCCAAGAGCCTCCACTGAAATGGAAGTCTCAAGTGAATAATTTACAGATGAGAAGGATTTTTATAATTGTTTAAGCCACATCGGCCTGGTCTACACTTAACATTTAGATCGACCGAGCTGTATCGCTCAGGGATGTGAAAAAATTCACACCCCTGAGCACCATAGTTAAGCCAACCTAATCCCCAGTGTAGATGTGGCTAGGTCGAGGAAAGAATTCTTCCATCAACCTAGCTGCTGCTACGCAGGGGGTGGATTACCAACATAGACAGAAAAACCCCTTCTGTCGACGTAAGGAGCATCTATGCTCCAGCAGCATAGCTGCAGTCATGCCCCTATCGTGCTTGTAGTGTAGACATAGCCATAGTGTTGCTGATGGTCTGAAGAGTTAACAGGACTTTTGAAACCTGTAAGACAGAGATCCCCAAACTGTGGGTCGCACGCTCCTGAGGGAGGCACAGAGGAACGGTTGGAGGGCGCGGCGGGGCCTGAGCCAGCTCCCACAGGGGGTGGGGAGGGAGCACCGCCCTGTTCCGCTCCCAGCTCTGCTCCAGCCCCGGCTGCGGCCCTGGCCTTGGTCCCCTTACTCCTGTCTGCATCCACTCCAGGCCCTGACTTGGGGAGTGGGGAGGGGGCATGACCCTAAAAAGTTTGGGGACCACTGCTATTAGAGCTTCTGACTCATCTGTTTCCTAGGCTGCTGTAGCCTTTTGTCAGAAGTGCGGTTGCTACTAACCTTCAACACACAGCGCCTGGGAGAGCATGAAGCGATCCAGCCCTGGGGGCAGCCCAAGTGGGAGGGGGATGAGAATATCCACTAGGCCAGAGAGGCCATAAGTGAAGTACATGGTTCCATGTGTCCAAGTCAGCAGGTCCACCCACTTGTGATCCTGGGTGTAGAGATGCAAATGGGGGCCCTCGGGAATAAACTGTCCAGCAAGAATCCCTATCCAACAGGAAAAGGGCCAGTGTGAAGGGAGAACAGGATCCAAGTCACTGAGAAAGCTATTAGCACTTAACCACCTTTCTACTCTAGGTTTGGCACATAGGCGAGTAAAGGATCAGAATCCAGGCATTGTGCAAGGATCCCCTTGCCCCAGCCTTCCAGCTCTGCCTGTTTCAGCCCTTGCCCTGTCGTGGTACAGGAAGGCAGGTGCAGCTGCGACAGAGGTAAGTATTAACCTAGACGTGACATGGAGTCAGCACGACTGCCAGGCATAGCGAGACCTCTTGTCTTAAGTCTGCAAATGATTTACAGTGCATCTGCCTTCTTTTAGCTTCAGAAAGATCTGTTACTATTCAAAAACCCAACATGGCCTAACTATGAACTTTAACTGGAAGACAGGGCAGGCCATTGGAGCCTGCTGAGCAGATCCTGCCTGCTTTCCCATTGTCTATAGGTAGGGCCCTACCAAATTCACGGTCCATTTTGGTCAGTTTAACAATCATAGGATTTTAAAAAATCATAAATTTCCTGATTTCAGCTATTTAAATCTGACATTTCACGGTGTTGTAACTGTAGGGCTCCTGACCCAAAAAGGAGTTGTGGGCGGAGTCAAGGTTATTGTAGTGGAGGTTACAGCACTGCTACCCTTACTTCTGCGCTGCTGCTGATGGCGGCGCTGCCTTCAGAGCTGGGCAGGTGGAGAGCGGCAGCTGCTGGCCGGGAGCCCAGCTCTGAAGACGGTGACACGCCAGCAGCAGCGCAGAAGTAAGGGTGGCCTGGTATGGTATTGCCATCTTTACTTCTGCGCTGCTGTTGGCGGGGGCGTTGTCTTCAGAGCTGGGCACCCGGCCAGCAGCCGTCACTCTCCCGCTGGCCAGTTCTGAAGGCAGTTCTGAAGTAAGGGTGGCAATACCGTGACCCCCCTAAAATAACCTTGCGACCCCCCTGCAACTCCCTTTTGGGTCAGGGCCCCCAGTTTGAGAAATGCTGGTCTCCCCCGTGAAATCTGTATAGTATAGGGTAAGAGCATACAACAGGCCAGATTTCACGGGGGAGACTAAACTTCATGGTCAGTGACGTGGTTTTCATGGCTGTGAATTTAGTCGGGCGCTATCTATAGGAGGAAACTTATTTGGTGCTCATTATTCTGATCGACAAGTGTGGGTGCTGACACGTCAGGCAGCTGGGGGAATGATGCACTGCTACTAGCTGAAAGGAAGGTAATGAGCTCCAGTCCTTACCCACTAGAGCAATGATAACTTTGCCCAGCCCTTCCAGGAGCTCCAGATACTGGTACCACTTATTTTTGCTGATGTTTTCATTCTTCCTCTGCATGAGATACTTGATGGGGTGTTTCACAGACCACAGGACCCCAACAGTCAGGAAGTAACACCCTGGCAGGGCATGACCTTCAAAGTTTTTCATCCCTGAGAGCCATGAAAAGAGAAAGCCATCATTGTTCATGCTGGAAAGCAAATGAGGTGTTTTTTGATGCTCTTAATTACACAGATAACTGTGAATTGTATTGTATTACAATTATAAATTGCTCATTTGTAACTGGCCAGCAAAATGAGCAATTCTTCCCAGCCTATTCATAAAGGGGTGATTGTTTTTCAAAAGTCCTGAGCACCTACAAATCCTATTGATTACTTCTACCCACCCAGGTTTGAAAATTTAACCTGAATAATCAGGATTTTTTGTGTAGGGGTAAGACTAATTCCCACCTCAATGTTTTCCTCTTTTTCTGAGATCCTAGCCAGGTTTCCAGCCAACACAATCCTAGAGAGTAAAACGTCACTGGCTTTGGAAAGGTTATGTTTAAAATAGTTTATGGGGACTTTGGCTCTGAAGCCAGAATGGGTTATGGCTTTGCAGGTGGCAATTATTTCATGAGAAAGATGCTGTTATGATGGTTTTTTTCCATGCATGTTTCCAGGACTGATGTTTTTCTAATGACGTGGAAGAGCTGGTGAATAATGAGGTGACAACTTGTATTATTATTATTTAAATATTCTAGCCAGTGTAGGTAGGACTGTGTACGGTTAAGGTTGGTCGAACACTTCCTAGTTATAAGACCCTGTTTTCAGTTGCTTATAACTTTGCCAGTCTTTAATAGTTTGAGCTGAAATTTGCCATTCTAGGTGTCTACCTCAGGCTGAATTTTTGGGGGAAATTTCAGGTAAAACAGCTGGGTCGTTTTTGAGAACGAGATTAGGAAGAAACGCATTTTGCCCATTTAAAAAAAAAAAAAATCTTACCACTGTTTTGTTGAGAAGCTGTAGTTCCCCTGTGATTTGGAGCAAGGACTTGAAATTTAGCGGGGGGAGCTGTGGGTGGTGGCTGTGGTGCCAGAGATAGGCCTTTGGGCAAACCTGTGAAAATGCATCCAAATTAGCTAAAGTTAGAAGTCTCTGGAAAATCTCTGTTCACACACGTGCAGCAGAGACTTGTTAGAGTCTAACAACTAAACTCTTCAAAGATTCTGTCTACATAGAGCACACACCATCCTGTCACAGCTTGTGGTGCTGAGTGGACTACGTGCCATCCCCAAAGAGCCACTGAGCAAGCGTTGTCCTTGGGGCAGTCAGCTCTGGGCTGGATTTTCCCTGCAACTGCTCTTCTGTCTCCACCACCTGCTATGGTGCCAGGTACCAGAACTGAGAGCTTGGTGTCTTTTTAGCTAGGCCAGGAGGAGGAGGAGAGAAAATTTGGCAATATTGTAAATCAGGAGTTTCTTGCCTAGGCAAGAAGAACAATAGTCTTATCTGACCATCTTAGTTTCTGTTCTTGGAGAACTGAACCTCTCACTCATCTGTGGTTCCTCAGACAAAGCATCCTACACAATGTCAGCTGTTTTCTAGGACATGTCTACATATTTCCCCACAGCAGAGCCTCAGAGCCCATATCTACAGGCTTGGGTTTGAGCTACGGCACTAAAAATAGCCGTGTAGACATTCGTGTTCGGGCACTGAAGCCTGGGACGGAGGGTGGGTTTCAGATCCCCAGTTCCAGCCCAAATCTGAACATCTACATTGCTTTTTATAGTGCCATAGCATGAGCCCTTGTAGACCTGGCCTCAGAGACTCGATGCTGCAGGGGTTTTTTATCATATAGACATATCCTTGTTGTATTTTCTTCCTAGGTGACATTCAGGACTAGGTCGGTGGACCATATTTTGGAGTAAACAGATGAGGATAGTTTCTCTGATTTTTGAGGCCAGGAAGACTTATTATTAACCATTGCAGGCCTATTTGTCACCTGTACCTCTCCCATTCATAGAATCATAGAATATCAGGGTTGGAAGGGACCTCAGGAGGTCATCTAGTCCAACCCCCTGCTCAAAGCAGGACCAATCCCCAATTAAATCATCCCAGCCAGGGCTTTGTCAAGCCTGACCTTAAAAACGTCTAAGGAAGGAGATTCTACCACCTCCCTAGGTAACGCATTCCAGTGTTTCACCACCCTCCTAGTGAAGAAGTTTTTCCTAATATCCAACCGAAACCTCCCCCACTGCAACTTGAGACCATTACTCCTTGTCCTGTCCTCTTCTACCACTGAGAATAGTCTAGAACCATCCTCTCTGGAACCACCTCTCAGGTAGTTGAAAGCAGCTATCAAATCCCCTCTCATTCTTCTCTTCCGCAGACTAAACAATCCCAGTTCCCTCAGCCTCTCCTCATAAGTCATGTGTTCCAGACCCCTAATCATTTTTGTTGCCCTTCACAGGACTCTCTCCAATTTATCCACATCCTTCTTGTAGTGTGGGGCCCAAAACTGGACACAGTACTCCAGACGAGGCCTCACCAATGTCGAATAGAGGGGAACGATCACGTCCCTCGATCTGCTTGCTATGCCCATACTTATACATCCCAAAATGCCATTGGTCTTCTTGGCAACAAGGGCACACTGCTGACTCATATCCAGCTTCTCGTCCACTGTCCCCCCTAGGTCCTTTTCCGCAGAACTGCTGCCTAGCCATTCGGTCCCTAGTCTGTAGCTGTGCATTGGGTTCTTCCGTCCTAAGTGCAGGGTCCTGCACTTATCCTTATTGAACCTCATCAGATTTCTTTTGGCCCAATCCTCCAATTTGTCTAGGTCCCTCTGTATCCTATCCCTGCCCTCCAGCGTATCAACTACTCCTCCCAGTTTAGTATCATCCACAAATTTGCTGAGAGTGCAATCCACACCATCCTCCAGATCATTGATGAAGATATTGAACAAAACCGGCCCCAGGACCGACCCTTGGGGCACTCCACTTGACACCGGCTGCCAACTAGACATGGAGCCATTGATCACTACCCGTTGAGCCCGACAATCTAGCCAACTTTCTACCCACCTTATAGTGCATTCATCCAGCCCATACTTCTTTAACTTGCTGACAAGAATACTGTGGGAGACAGTGTCAAAAGCTTTGCTAAAGTCAAGATACAATACATCCACTGCTTTCCCTTCATCCACAGAACCAGTAATCTCATCATAGAAGGCGATTAGATTAATCAGGCATGACCTTCCCTTGGTGAATCCATGCTGACTGTTCCTGATCACTTTCCTCTCATGTAAGTGCTTCAGGATTGATTCCTTGAGGACCTGCTCCATGATTTTTCCGGGGACTGAGGTGAGGCTGACTGGCCTGTAGTTCCCAGGATCCTCCTCCTTCCCTTTTTTAAAGATTGGCACGACATGAGCCTTTTTCGAGTCATCTGGGACTTCCCCCGTTCGCCACGAGTTTTCAAAGATTATGACCAATGGCTCTGCAATCACAGCCGCCATTTTCTTTAGCACTCTCGGATGCAACTTGTCCGGCCCCATGGACTTGTGCACGTCCAGCTTTTCTAAATAGTCCCTAACCACCTCTTTCTCCACAGAGGGCTGGCCATCTACTCCCAATGTTGTGATGCCCAGCGCAGCAGTCTGGGAGCTGACCTTGTTAGTGAAAACAGAGGCAAAAAAAGCATTGAGTACATTAGCTTTTTCCACATCCTCTGTCACTAGGTTGCCTCCCTCATTCAGTAAGGGGCCCACACTTTTCTTGGCTTTCTTCTTGTTGCCAACATACCTGAAGAAACCCTTCTTGTTACTCTTGACATCTCTTGCTAGCTGCAGCTCCAGGTGCGATTTGGCCCTCCTGATTTCATTCCTACATGCCTGAGCAATATTTTTATACTCTTCCCTGGTCATATGTCCAACCTTCCACTTCTTGTAAGCTTCTTTTTTATGTTTAAGATCCGCTAGGATTTCACCGTTAAGCCAAGCTGGTCGCCTGCCATATTTACTATTCTTTCAACTCATCGGGATGGTTTGTCCCTGTAACCTCAACAGGGATTCCTTGAAATGCAGCCAGCTCTCCTGGACTCCTTTCCCCTTCATGTTAGTCCCCCAGGGGATCCTACCCATCCGTTCCCTGAGGGAGTTGAAGTCTGCTTTCCTGAAGTCCAGGGTCCGTATCCCGCTGCTTACCTTTCTTCCCTGTGTCAGGATCCTGAACTCAACCAACTCATGGTCACTGCCTCCCAGATGCCCGTCCACTTTTGCTTCCCCCACTAGTTCTTTCCTGTTTGTGAGCAGCAGGTCAAGAAAAGCTCCCCCCCTAGTTGGCTCCTCTAGCACTTGCGCCAGGAAATTGTCCCCTACGCTTTCCAAAAACTTCCTGGATTGTCTATGCACCGCTGTATTGCTCTCCCAGCAGATATCAGGAAGATTAAAGTCACCCATGAGAACCAGGGCGTGCGATCTAGTAGCTTCTGCGAGTTGCCGGAAGAAAGCCTCATCCACCTCATTCCATTGGGAGGAAACCAGTGAAGAGTTTACCAAGTATTTTTACAAAGCAAAACCCAGACAGAGAGCAAGCACATGCAAGTCACCCTGGAACAGCCAAAGTCTGCTGGCTACAGCACTCACCTGGGATGCTAGAAACTCTGGTGCAAGTCTCTGGTCTGCATCAGGCAGCACAGAGACTTGAAGCTGCATCTCCCACAGCTCGGGTGAGTGTCCACCCCTGCAAGCTATTGATGTGTGTGCATGTCCTAGCTCAAGGAATTGGCGTTTTCCATTGAAAACCCACGATCGAAAAATGCCCGATCCACTCTAATAATAATACCTCGGAGCAGTAAAAAAAAAAAAAAAAAACCCAAAAGCTTTTCTGAACGCATTTAGTTTTCCAACTAGCAGTTGTGAGCCTTATAATCATTTCAAAACAACCCAGTGATGACGGTCTAGCCTTGCTCTTGTGATAACCACCTCAAACTCGGACGATTACTGTTTTGCAATGATGCGTATTATTTAGCAGAGATGATTATAGCAGCTTTCCTGAAGTCTGTAAGATCAGAACCAAAGTGCCCATATCAGAAGGAAAGTGGGACCTGTGATGCTTCAGAGATTGTTCTTGTCTGATGTCATGAACCTGTACCAGATCTTTAAAGGCTGGGTCCTTGTTTGTAATTTACTGAGTGCAGTGTTTAAAAATATAAAAATCCCTCTCTCATGGGTTCTTCATCTGCTCACTCCTGTGATCTCTGCACTGGTATTCCTGTTGCTAACCTCCATGGTCTCTGACTCAGAATTTAACCCATTAAAAAGCTTTTGTATTGCAAGGGCTTTGTACAGTATTCTACCTATTCACCTCCCCACCCCCTAGCTCTTTCCTAGGGTTTCATTCAACGAAGTGGAAGTGTCAGATTCTTTTAACTAACTTTATAACTTCAGTGATATTTCTCTTTC